CCGCTGGCCCAGCGCAGTCCGCCGCCCAGATGGGAGCCGGGGCAGCGCCCCCCTCCCCTCTCCTCGCTCCTGGGCAAAGCACCTTCCTGGTTCCTTTGTCCCAGCGTAAATTGGGCAATTCGCAGAGGCGCCAATTGGCTCAAATCTCGAGGGGGATGGGAGTCCAATCTGGTGGGCAGCTTCTGCCACCAGAACCTCCCCCCCCATCAAACCATCACACAGAGGAAGGACTCCACAGTGGGTCTGTGAGACATCCGTACCGTCTGGAGCAGAGCTGACGGGAAGCCTGAGGCAGCATCGTTCTGTCCTGAATTCTTCCATCCTGTTGTTCTTTCACTTCTATCAACTGTCACGTGCGAAGGTGGTCGGGACATGCGAGTTGCTTTGCTCTCCTCTCCCCAGCTGGACCCACGCGAATGCCCACGGGTCGATAGGTGCCACCGAAATGCACCGTGGTAGATGCAGATAGCGTATAGACTGACCTATATCTGCCTCTCCAGCCGGGAGGAGAAGCTGTGGGACATAGCAGACAGCATCTGTCACTCACTCTGTGTTGCATTTCACTCATCACGTTGCACAAACCCTTCCCTGAACCCTCCCAGCTCACCAACTCTCCACTCTCCTCTTGCAGCAGCTGCACGGCAAGAACATCCAGTTCAACGATGGCTACGTGGTGAAGGAGGCGATCGGTGTCGGCTCCTACTCAGTGTGTAAACGCTGCGTGCATAAAGCCACCAACATGGAATACGCAGTCAAGGTCTGAGGTTCCCTAGCTGAACTGAACTGCCCTTTTCGATTTCTGTCCATCCCCGTAACGACCAAAATAACCTCCAGGAGTGAAGTTGCTTTCCCTGCTTGCGTAGGGCCTAAAGGGATAATTTCTGTGCTGCTGTGCATGTAACTGCATGAGTTTTATTATCTAGGAATGGCGGGGCAGCAGTGTTCCCCTCTGTCAGGGCAAGGACAGCATCTCCCCTTTCTTTGCAGAGCATCCTGTGGCTCCGTCAGCTCTTAACAAATAAGCTAGGCATAAAACTGTGGGGTTTGGAGACACCAAACTGATGAAGCAATTAGGAGTTTTCTAGAGCTTACTGCTAAAGAGGGCAGGGGACAGGGGCTGGACACGGTACAGGATCTCCGCAGGGCTCCGAACGCTCAGCTGGTTCACGTTGTCCTGGCCCCTTTCCCACCCCGTTGTGGCTGACACTCCTCCGTGCTCTTCCAGGTTATTGACAAGAGCAAGCGCGACCCTTCCGAGGAGATAGAAATCCTCCTGCGATACGGGCAGCACCCCAACATCATCACCTTGAAAGATGTGAGTGTAACTTGAAGGATTTCCCTGTGTTTTGGTTTCGGAAGCGCAGACTGGTCTATGGCAGGGCAGAACGCAGCTCCGGCACGAGCAACCCGATGGCACTGCCCCATGGATCGGGCCGGTGGGGGACGCGTCCCCAGACCCACCTCTGTGTTGCCCATTTCTGTCTGCTGCTTGGTGCTAGAGGTACAGAAGGGAAACTCTGGGAGCACTTTTCGGTTAATCCCCTCCCTGTGTGCTTTGGTAGGTGTACGATGATGGGAAGTACGTGTATCTGGTGACTGAGCTGATGAGGGGAGGGGAGCTGCTGGATAAAATCCTCAGGCAGAAGTTTTTCTCGGAGAGGGAAGCCAGCTCGGTCCTGCACACGATCTGTAAAACGGTGGAGTATCTGCATTCCCAAGGGGTGAGTACAGTTTTCCTGGGAAGCTGTCTGGCATCGCACTACACTCCCTCTCCTCCAAGGAGTAACTGTGCGTGTCAGGACTGTTCTTTCTTGCTGGTGTTGCTGTCTTGGCCAGCCAGACGTGGGGCCAGAGCAGGGCTTGAGTGTCCTGCTGCAGCTTCAGACCTGTGTCTGCCTGGGGTACGAGAACGGCGCCGTCTTTGCTCCACAGGTGGTTCACAGGGACTTAAAACCCAGCAACATCCTCTACGTGGATGAGTCGGGAAACCCCGAGAGCATTCGCATTTGTGACTTCGGCTTTGCCAAGCAGCTGAGGGCTGAGAACGGCCTCCTGATGACTCCGTGTTACACGGCCAACTTTGTGGCACCCGAGGTAAGCGCCGCTCCTGACCCGAGACCCTTCGGTAGCTCTTGTGTCCCTCCCTCGCCGGTGCTCGCAGGCGGTGCAGGTGGGTCTGCCCCGTTCCTGATTTCTGTTCCGTCCTGGAAGAGGTAATTACGGAAATACCACCTGTAGTAACGAACAAATAGGGGATCTCAAGTGCAGTTACAGTGCAGTCCTCCATCTTGTAGTGTCCTTGTGAGAGGGGCTGCTTAGAGTACTGAGACTTCGAAATCCCAGGGATTTTCTAGGCTGCTTCTCTTCCTGATTAACTGACCAGTTAAAAGAGGTGGGATGATTTTCCACTCGGCTGTCTTGGTGCGGAAGAACGAAAAAGAGCAGGCACGCAACGGAGCGCGCTGCAGTGTCACCGCACTGGCACGTGGCTTCTTTCTCGCTTGTTGTTTCGATGTGCCTGGCGGGGTTCCTCCGTTCCATGAAACCAAAATCTGTTACGAATCCTGATCTTTAGTCCAAAACTTTGCTGTTCAGTCGGGCTCTGGGAGCTTTGCCTACAGACTGCATGCAGAGGTCAAGCTGCTTTCACGAGCTGATGGGAGCTCAACAAGATCCAAACACACTTTTTTTTCCCTTTGCTTACCGTGTTCAGGTCCTGAAACGCCAAGGCTACGACGAGGGCTGCGACATCTGGAGCCTGGGAGTTCTCCTGTACACGATGCTCGCAGGGTAAGCGCCGGGCTGGCTGGAAGGCAGCAGCTGGGGCCATGACCGCCTTGCTCTCGGACACGCTCCATGGTGGCAGTTGGACCTCTCCTCGGTCACTGCTCCCTGGCTGGGTCACAGGCCAGTCAATGAAATATTCTCACCTCTGCCCTCAGCTGTACACCGTTTGCGAATGGTCCCAGTGACACTCCGGAGGAGATCCTGACCCGGATAGGTGGGGGGAAGTTCTCCGTCAGCGGAGGCAATTGGGACACTATTTCTGACATGGCCAAGGTACGGTTTGATATTCGTCTGCGTTCCCTTAAAGGTTGAGGTCAAGCACGACCAGTTTAAAGCAGGCTGGGGAGGGGGAGCAGAAGGGAAAGGGGCAAACCAGCTGTGGAGCTTCTACCCTGTGCGTCTCTCCCGCACGGCAGCTCAGCAGCGTCCCTCTCCCCGCGGTGTTTCAGCTCTGGCCGTGAATATTTGTGTGCAACACCAACCTCGTGCGTGACCCGTGTGGGGTTTGCTGCTGCGTCATACCTCCCAGCCCTACTGAAAACGTATTTTGGATAAAGGAGATTGATGTCTGGGGACTTTAAAGTTGGCCTCTGAATTTAAATCCTAATTTGAGGGTGGACAGGTGGTATTTTTGCATCTAAAGTACGAAATCTTCTGAAGTCCAACTTTCCAACCGATGCCCTTAGGATCTGGTATCAAAGATGCTTCACGTAGATCCTCATCAGCGTCTAACAGCTAAGCAGGTCCTGCAGCATCCGTGGATAACGCAGAAGGACAGCTTACCCCAGAGCCAGCTGAATCACCAGGACGTTCAGCTTGTAAAGGTACAAAGTGTGGGCTGAGCCTTCAGCTGGTCCCTGGTGTACCCTGGCCTCTTCGGAGAGCAGCGGTCCAGGTGGGGCGACGGTAGTGTGGGCAAAGAGACAGTGGGTTGGAGAGGTGTGGGCCAGGGCAGGCAACACAAGATGAGCTTTTTCGGCAGGAAAGCCTGCGTGTTGGTACGGGAGGGAGATTTAAATTAAAAAAATAAAAATAAAAAGCTTCTGGCTTTGTTGGTGGGTCTGGCTACTCTGGTCCCTCATCCTGTAAAGCCGTGAGTCTGAAATACCTCTTCTACACCCAAATGACTTCTCGTCCCTTCTCTCCAAGGGGGCGATGGCCGCCACGTACTCCGCACTGAACAGCTCCAAGCCAAGCCCCCAGCTGAAACCCATCGAATCCTCCATTCTGGCACAGAGACGGGTGAAAAAACTTCCTTCCACCACCCTGTGAAGCCGGGGCGGTCTGCGGCCGCGCGACACGGGCACGCCGGACTCTGCGCACCTCCTGAAGCCAAGGGGCAGGAGACGGGGCGGTCGGTGCCCGCGCAGGAGCTCCCTTGAGGACTTGTTCTCCAAAGGCCAAGTGCCTTCCTGCTGCCGAAAGACTGGCTCCTCCTTGTGTGGACTGATCTTTGCCGAGAGAACGTCACTGTAAAATTTTTTTTGAAGTGTAAATCATCAGTTTTTAAAGACATCCCTCTGTGTATATGAGAACTAGAATGTATAACTGATGTCAAGTGGCACTAAAAAGCAGCTCTGATTCACCTTTTCCTGTGTAGGGCCAGGTATTTGTTGTAGCTACATCATTTTTTAGAATCGATCCTCTCCAACGCCAGAAGACTGCGTAACGTTTGGGTTTTAGGCTTTGGGCTTTTTCCTCCTGTGAACCTTTGGATGCCCTTCCCGAAGCCGACCCTGCAGACTCCTGCCAGCAGCACTCGTGGTTGTGCAGGACTTCCCTCCCCTTCACTTCACTTTTTGTGCGTGTGTGTGCGCGTTCAGAGCGTAAGGTGGATTTTTCAGGCTCCGTTTCTTCCCCTCTCCTGCCCTCCCCGTGCCCAGACAGGAGTTCTCTGAACAAAATAAACCACGGGTGTTCCATGCACCCCCCAGATGCTCGGCTGCCCACAACACCTGCTGGGTTTGGCTCATCCCTTCCCTCTGCCCTCCCGTCTTCGTGTTCTCCCCATCGCTCCCCGGGCGGTTTGTCACCCCCGGGATGACGAAGGAACCTTCTCCTCGGCAAAGCTTCGGGCTCTGCCTCCTGCTTTTACCATTCTTGATTTTTTTCCTTTTCCTCCAGCAGGAACCTATGAAACAAACCATCCTTTTTATTTGTTTGGTTGGTTTTTTAATTTAACTTTCTTCTACAGCTGGTAACTCAGGGTTTCTTTCTGAATTGTACAATAAACGTTGTCATCCAGTCGACGTGATTTTACTCGCTGACTTCTAGCTGCAGAATAAGCAACCCCGGTCGTTTCCCCACGTCGTATGGGAATAATGATGCTTGCCTGCTTTTTGGGAGATCCGCAAAGCTTTTCCACCTGGCCCCGTGATGGGAAAACCAGCAGTACTGTAGTAGGGCTGCAAATTGTGCCACCGCCTCTCAGGCGCGATACCTCACCTTGCAGCGGGAAGGAATTAGAACCAGTTATGGAATAAGGCAGGAATCAACAAGAGAGGCGGCAGGATTTGGGTTGCGGAGGGAAATTTCTTACTCTCAGGACATTTTAGTGCTAATAGAAACCAACAGCTGGAGGCAAACCGTGCTAGAAATAAATTCCCGACCCATTCTGACTTGCAGGGAATTGTTGGAGCTCCCAGGTTCGGCGCTG